ACTGGAATTATGAGCCATAAAGAAAAAAAAAGTAGTAAGCTGAACTTCATCAAAATAAGTTATGTTTTTTGAAAGACAGTGTAAAAAAATAAAAAGAAAAGTCACAGGCTAGGGAAAACTATGCAAGTAATATATCTAATAAACTATTTGTAAGTAGACTATAAAATGACCTGTTAAGATTCAATAAAATAAACCAATCCAGTAAAAAATGGTTGCAAGAAATTTGAACACTTTATCAAAGATACAAGGCTGTAAATAAACATGAAAAATGTTCTACATAAAGAGAAATGCAAATTAAACTTTAACAATATACTACATGTTCATTAGCATTTCTAAAATTAAAAAGATTAATCACACCAAGTGTTTACAATTTGTAAGAAACCAGGTACATTATTTATTTATTTATTTATTTATTTTGTGTGTGTGTGGCCAGCTCAGCCCACCAGGGGGCGGCGCTGGCTGGCATGTGGTGCTGGAGGATTGAACCGCGGTCCCAGTGCTTTGCTTAGCTTGTTCTAAGTAGGTGCTTTAGACCACTGAGCCATCTCACCAGCCCATATTTTTTTATTTTTATTTTTTTAAATGTATTTAGGACAGGGTCTACAGGATCTAACAGGTCTCACCACATAGATCAGATTCATAGTGAGGCTCCTGTTTTCAGTCTCCCAAGTGCTGGAATTACAGGCATGTGCCACCATGCCCAGTCTCAATTGCCCTCTCAGCGTGCCCTGGGGGTAGGGCTGGCACAGCACACCAGGGATCGAACCCTGGCCGCTGTGCTCTGCCTAAGCAGGCGCTTTAATTCTCTGAGCTAACAGGTACATAATTGAGAAATGTAAGTACCACTGTTTGGAGCAACAGTTGTCAGTCTCTTAATATATTAAGTATATATATTCATATGTCCATTATCAGGTGAAAGGGTAAGCAATCTGTGTAATATCTATATAATGAAATGCTGCTCAACAATGAAAAGAGCTGACATATCCAACAACAGGGATGAACTTCAAAATAATTATGCTAAAATT